CTAACCAGGAGGCTGCTGCTCTCCTTTCACTCCTCCACATTCTCCCCCTTCACACTTGCTGATGCTTCATCATGTACTTCATCTCTCTAAGTGTCTCTGTTCATTGCTGAGTCAGATTCATTTTAACGCCAACCGCTCTCTTCTTTTTTTTTTTCTTCTCTTCTTTATTTCCAGCTATTGAACCTGCTGGTTAGGTGAATGAACCTGGGTGACTTTATAATTTTAGATATTGAATATGAAGGAGAAATAAAATAGATTTGGGGAGAAGATGACATTGCCCGGGTCAGTACATACAATGTGTCCTACTTTTCCCCTGCCTGCAGCATACAGACTCTAAATACAGCAAACATAAACTGAACATCAGTGCGTCCAACTGCAGCCTTTATTTACATTTTTACCATCTCTATTTAAAACAGACTGCCATATTAAAAAATAAAATACATATAGCCCACATACATATTTGCACTGTTTAAAATTATTTTAATCAGTTTGCATGTTTCATTATTCAAACTTTTATTTCCCTGTTAATAAAAAAAACAGGCCTTTTGTGTATGGATGTGGAAGAAAAAAAAATCAGTTTTTTTGAGAACCAAAGTCAAACACTTTGTTTGGAGTAGTACACATGAGGGCATGCGTGTAATAAAGTGCTTTTGCTCTGTTTTGAAACACTTCTGAGTACTATGATGGCTTCAAAGGTTATTCCAAAATGCCCTAAATACATAGCCTAGTATGTAGGATATAGAGGGTATAGACATGTGGGAATAAATTGATGTAATTTCTTCTCTTACTAACAGCAGATATAATAGCCCATATAAAGGCACATTTTGCTTATGCGCACCAAACTGTAAAATGAGTTCTTTTAGTTTACGGCTATTGTTGGGGAAAACCCGGCAAAATAGGCCATGCGTTTCTTGAACATTTTAATTGATCTATTTTTCATCTTCCCCCGTGGATTTTTTCCTAACAAAACGCTGGCAGTGTATTGAAACAATCTTAATGCAAGCTGCAGATTTGCCTCATTGGTCCACTGAAAGGAATGAAAGGAAATGTAAAAGCTTTCACACCACGAGCACAATGCAAATGATGCTTTGATTCACTCTTAATTTCATCAAAAGGTTGTTGTTTTTTTTTGTTTCTTTCTTTTGAATTATTATTATTATTATT